GGGGAGCCCCTCAGACACCCTCTGTGAAGGGGAGATGGTCCTTGCTGTGGGGAGCCCCTCAGGTACACCTCCCCATCTCCTCCCAAAGGAAAGTGGGGGGGACTGCTATGAGCAGCCCTCAGGCACATCCCCAAAGGGGGCACTGCTGTGAGCAGCCCCACAGACATCTCTTCCTCTCCAGAACAGGGTACTGGGAAGCCTCTCGGTCAGCAGCTCCTCACCACCCTAAAGCAGGTACCTGAGGGGTCCTCACTGTGGGGAGCCTGTCAGTCCCTGTCCCCCCACAAAGGGAGGGGCCAGGGCCCTGGTGATGGGGGTCTCATGTCCCAGGACGCTGGCGTCGAGCCCCCAGGTCCGTCCCTTCTCCCCGAGGCAGACGGGGTCCCCGCGAGGCTGGGCCAGGCCATGCTGGCAGGGCACCGGGAACAGACAGTGCTGAACATATTTCATGGGTAAAAATAGACCTTTCGTGTTCAGAGCCAGCTGTCACCTGCCCCACTGACCGGGAGACAAAGACATTGCCACGGAGGTTCTGCCTTTCCCAGCAGTTTCTCGGGATGCTTTCTCCCCTGCCCTTGCTGGGTAGTTAAATTTGCTGTCTTCCCCCTTCTCCCGTCCCTGAATCTGTGTCCCTTTGCCATGGGGCACATCCCTAGGGGAGCCACTGGCGCATTGGGGTTGTAGCTCCCAGAGAATTGCGTGGGTTTATATTGGTCCGGGTGACAGCTGTGGCACCACCAGACCTGTAGGATCGTGAATGCTGTGGTTAAACTCCAGAACAGCCCTCCTGTGCTTTGTTTTCTCACGTCTCTCTTGATTTCCTCCCCCAGCTTTCTCCCATCACCGATTCACTCTTCTTCGAACTAACCAACCCTCATACTTGCTGCCACAAAAGCTCAGGGCATTGTTTTTCCACTGTTGTTGCTCTTAATTTTCTTTCAAATGCTATTTGCCTGGTTTATTTATGGAGGGGGAGAAAAATGTAACAGTTCATCTCTTTTTAGAAGTATTTAGTTAGTTTTGTCTTTACAAAACATATTTATGTTCTGGATTAGCAAGTGACTCCCCCTCCCCAATTCTTCTACAGCACCCTTGGAAAGGGCACCTTTGATAAAGACTCTTGTCGGGGTAATCTGTTTCAGACAAAAATATATGGTCTGCAAATTATTTTCCCTATGATTACAGTGACTTGAGCTGTAATAGAGCTTGATTGTGGCTTTCAGGTTGGACCAACCCACTGGATGTGTAATACTGCTTAAACAGTAAGAGAGTTCTCCTTCGTTGGGAAGTCTTGAATAACTGAGCGGGTTTTTTATTGTCGTCTTTTCTTATTCCTTTCAGACAGTGTTTGTTGGAAAGAACAAGCCACAGAAAGATCCCCTGAGCTCCTTCCGCTGGCAGGGCTTCAAGCTGGAAGAATATCTCATTGGCCAACCCATCGGGAAGGGCTGCAGCGCCGCTGTGTACGAAGCAGCTATTCCTTTCTCTTGCGATCGCCAGGGACGTGTGGAGAGCAGCCATCTCGCAGGGCAGGGGCCAGCCGTGCAGCGGGATCGTGGCTCGGCTTCACAGGCGGCTGAAGAGGAGCCCGTAGAGAAACACCAACTGAAAGAGGCTTTTCCGTTAGCTATCAAAATGATGTGGAACATTTCGGTAAGAAGTGGGTTCTTAATCTGGGAAAGTCTGGCTGAAATGTTTAACGCTCAAGTGTTGAAAGCGCTAATTATGTAGCGCACGATGAATGTGTCAAAACAAAGTTGTTGATATGTGACATCGGAGACGTCGATTGTTAGCGAGCAGTCCCAGAGCAAGGTAGTTAGGATTCATCATTCCTCTGGAATCGGCATTGAGAGCTGCTGGTGGTGGTGGTGTTGGTTGTGGAGGTGATGTTTCTGGAAGAAAAGCTTTTCTGAAGCTGGCTGTAATGGCAAGGTGTAAGAAATGGAAAGCCACTGCTGCCGTTGTTTTAGGAATCGGTGTCCTTGTTGGTGTCAGGATAGAAATACATTTTCTTCTGCAAAGTGCGGCTGAGGTGTGAGTCAGTGGTCACAGGGGTGGGGCAGTAACCTGTGTGCTGGGTCCCCTTGCCGTGAAGTGAATGGGCGAGATCTGCGCCAGTGCTTCCCAGCCCGGGTGACTCTCTGACGATTCAACCCCTCAATGTGGCTATTTCACATTTAAAAAAATACACGTGTCTTTTCCCATTGAAGAGTTTTTGTGGCACTTGATGTGACAAGTGGATATTCTAAGAAAGTCTTCCAAAACGCCAACATTTGAAACCCCTTGGGCTCCAGAAAAACCCTAGCATTTAGCTGTGGGCTTTTCCAGTCAGGTTTTGAAGTCGAAGGTGAGTGTTAATGTATAGCTCAGAGTGCTAACAGTCGAGGATGCATTTGAAGTGACAAATAGATTTCTTTCTGCAAGTAAAGGCCTTGCCACGTCCCTTGGTAAATTCTTTAAGTAATTAATTGCCTTCCCCGATTTTCAAAGTAGAGAAGGGAGTCCCTTTGATCTAGTCTCAGTTGATCTAACTCCAGATGCAGTGCCAGCGTCAGGATTATCTGCTTTCAGCCTGTATTGAGGCTGGATGATTTTGGAGCTTTAATCAATGTGGTGTGTAATTGCTGTTGCAGGCTGGTTCGTCAAGTGAAGCCATCCTTGATGCTATGGGCCGAGAGCTTGTTCCAGCCACGGGGGTTGCCTTAGCCGGAGAATATGGAGCTGTCTCTGGCCGCAGGTACAGTCACGATGGAAATGGCGGCAGTTCTCAAATGGTGACGCACTAATTTTATCCATCAATTAATTTTGCAGCACATCTGTACTGTTAAGAAGACGGCCAGAGGTTTCTATAGTAGTTCCTGAAAGTAGATAAAAACGAAGCCTTGGGATTATTAATGGCTCAGGAGGCGTATACGTATGTTTTATCTGAACGATGGTGTCTTCAGAAGTTCTGCATTCCTCAAACGTCATGCAGGGACGGGCTGCTGGCTGCCTTCGGGATTTTTCTCTGGTGTGCTTTTCTCCAGCACAGTTAGGAAAACGCATAGCAATACCACTGTTCAAATAGTGATTTAACACAGTCTTGTTGACTCTGAGGAGCAGATTGTGGCATGGCTTGTTGGTGTGTGGGGAGTACCTACAGCTAAACTGTACCGGCTTGGATGGCGTAGTCCAGAAGGGTATGCCAATAATTGGGGACCAGTTGGGGTCCTGCCAGTGGTCTGATGGCTGACTGTGGCCAGGCACTTCTGTGCCCCCATCTTAGTTTCCCCATGTGTAAAATGCTTTGATATCTGCAGATATTGTTAAAGGCTAGGAGGAGCTAATTAAAAATCATTTAAATGTGTGTCATAGTGCTTTTTAGTTACAGAAATGTACGCCTACAATCGGTAACAATTTGACTGTTTTAAACATCAGACAATTTGACTGTAATACAATTTGACTGTATAATTTTAGAACTGGTTTTGTAGTAAAATGGGTGCTGGGCAGGGAGGTGGAAACTGTTCTAGTGCAGAGAAACTGGCGAGAAAGAAAATGGAAAATCACTCGCTTCCCACTCTTTCACCTGAGTGAGAAGTGAGCAAACAGCATGAAGGTGGAAAATTGCACGGAAACTTTTAAATTATCTGGAGTTAGCTATTTCTTTGTTAAAAAATGTGTCTTTTTGTTTGATTTGAAACAATGGAGTCCACAGTCCAGATTGTCTGATTTAAATTTCAAATACATCTCAGCTGCCAATACAAATGAATAATGAATGCTGTGTGGTACGTCGCTAGCTGAGAGTGCAACAGAGCAGCCAAAGGGATATTTGACATTCAGGGGATGAGAGGGAAGAGAGATCTGTTTTGCAGATACAGATAGGTAACCTGCCTTTCATTGTAGTGAGTGCTTCCTGCCTGTGCCATAAAATAGAGGGTCTAAATTGATATGCCTAGTGTGAAGTTGACCTTTATTTTATGTCTAACAAAGTAATTGTGTTTGTTTTTTTTTCTCTAAAGCTACTGTTGCAGTTCTTTTTGAACTGAGAAGCAGCCTGTGACTAGCTCTGCCTTTGTTAGCCACGTGGAAGGGCTAGCAGGGTTTGAATCAAATTAAAGGCTGTGTGTTAAGTGTAAGAGTTTCCAGCAAAGCTTCATTTGCAGTGCGGGTAAAGCACCAATATTTCCTGTTCGGCCATCGTATACAGGGAAATCCAGTTACAACATGCTCCTAGTAGCCTTGGTCTGTGCACACTCCGCTGGTGTATCAGCAGACGGCACTGCCTCAATGATGGTTCAGGAAGTGCCAGGGTAGATTTTGAACTCCAGGGAAAGTCTGGGACCTGCCTGCTGCTGCGGTGGATCTGCTCGGGCTGTGGGCGCTTTGCATCAATGCGGGAAACGCTGGGCTGAGGCGCCAGTTAGGAAATTGTCCGTGAGGGCAGGGAGGTTGCCGTCGCTGTTCTTTCTAACCGAATGGTTTCCAGGATGTGAACGTTTGAATATTTGCTTAATGTGCAGTCCTGTAATCTGTACTGGGCAGCCTTAATGCTCTCTCTAATAAGGTTTTAGCTGCAGAATAAACATGTTTGCACACTGCTTTGGAACCCTTTGGTGGGGACGACAGGCCATATTAATGAAAAGTAATTCCAGAAATAACAGAGATGTGTCTGTGATAAATCAGAACTGACCAGGAGATCGATGGAATCTGTGGTATCTATACTTTTGCGCAGAAAACCTGTCCTTGGGAGGAAGAAGTTGCAACCTCATCCGAATATAATCCAGGTGATCCGAGCATTCACATCCTCAGTCCCTTTGCTGCCTGGAGCCTTCACAGACTATCCCGATGTTCTTCCATTAAGCCTGAATCCCAGAGGGATCGGTCACAGCCGCACGCTCTTAAAAAAAGCTTCCTGGTGATGAAGAAGTAGGTAGAGAGAAGCTTGTTAATGCGACTCGGGCTTTTCATGAGACTGCCCAGCAAGGCTGTGTATTCTGCTGCTACACAGGTCTTTGCAAAGATTTGGCCTGGACTGCTGCCAAAAAGCAGAGTATGCTCTTGGAAACGCCACCTAAGACCTGTTCCAAGTCTTTGAGATTTTAACTCTAGTTTGACAATGAAGACAAGCTGTTCTTTTTAATAATTACCCCAAATTAAAGTAAGAAATGTGGAGCTTGTCGCCATTTGTCTGCCCTTCTAAGTCTGAACTTCACCCCTAGTCTGAACACGCCGCTAGAGACGGAATAGAATTGGTCATGAGATTTATTAGTGCTCGGCATCTCTGGCTTTCTCGGTTTGGTTTTGGTTTTGAATGGGTATTGCTGTGGCACTGACATAAAAGAACCTTCTGTTTCCCACTCTTTTGTTCTGCCTGCATCTGGAGAAGTGCTCTGTCCTCTGCATTTCAAGAATATGTTCTTTCTCCTGATTAGCACATCTCATTTTGCTCATACGATCTGTCTCCTTTTTCATGCAAAATATAACACCCATACATAAAAACCTGTAAGAATGACCACTGATACCTGGAGCCCCTCGCCATGCTGTTTTAAGAGGCTTCTTTTATTTGCAGTTGTTGAACTCAGGCAAGAGCACCGAAAATTCAGTGGTGGGTGGTGTTGCAAAACAGAGGATTTGAGAACAGCAGACAGGGGAGCGGTGTCAGGTTGAGGCTGGGAGGTGGGAAGGCGTCACGGAGGTCAGGAAGAATTTGGCACATACAAGTGTGCAGTATCCCCAGCCAGACAGCACTGAGGTTGAACCACAAGCGATAAGCTTCCAGTATGCTAATTCAGAGGTTTTCCTTGTTCTGACTAGTTATCCGTGCACCCTGCGCCAGTATCTGAGGGAGAGCAGTCCAGATGTTTGTCTCTCCACGATGATGATTTTACAGCTCTTGGAAGGTGTGGACCATCTTGTTCGACATGGAATAGCACACAGAGACCTGAAGTCTGACAACATCCTGGTTGAATTTGATTCTGGTATGTAGATCTCTGAGTATAAATGCCAATTAAGTCACCTACAGAAGTGATGCAGTCGAAAAGGGGAAGTCCTACCCAGGTGTGCGTTTGGGGGAAAAATGAGCATCAAACCCTTTGAAGAATCTCAGGTTTAGTTTTTAGCTTGCTGCTTGCTGTCACTGCAGCACTGGGGAAGTCATTTATCCTGTCTGTGCCTCGGGTTTTGCATCATTAAAATGGACTTGAAAGGAGCGTTGCGCTGTAATCAGATGGAGAGACGCAGAGTATTGCTAAGGTGGTGTGTTGCACGAGCACAGCGAATGTTGGCTGGAGCAGATGGGTGTATAGTAACGCCAGACTGATGATGCTGGAGGTGCCTTTGCTTCAGGCTCTTGGCTCTGTCATCTCACGGTAGCCAAATAGCATAGGGCGGTTCTTAAAATCCCACCTTTCGGTCAGATTCATAGTGCTGCACCCTGGGATGATGGAACATCATTTGGAAGGCAAGGGAACAGACAGTGTTAAAGCCAAAAGCAGTATTTTCATCGTCTTGTTCTCCTGTCAGCCTCTGTAACTGAGATTTTAATTACCTGAGCTCCTTTTCCTTCAAATGGGCAGGAAACAATAGAAGGCAGCCAGATCTGTGTAATTAAAGGTCTTGGTACAGCAGCCATGGAAGGTTTTCAGTGATACTAATGACATCCTTTTTTTCTTGAAGGAAAAGCTGCTCTGGAGCTATGCTGAATGCACTTAGGAGTGATCTAAAGTGTCAATTTTTCTGTATTGGAATCTGGAGAAGTAATGATTCTACCTTGCAATGTTTGACTTGTCATCAGGGCAAGAACTATTAACTACTGCAAAGTTTCTCCAGCCTTTTGCTATAGCTAACTATATATCTATATGTCGATAGCTTTTGCTACAGATAAAAACAAAGGGAAAAAAAAAGAATGTATTCCTTCATCATGGATGAGTCTCTAACCTTATGTGTCTTCAATTTTATGGTATCCGTGACATTTTGACACGTTCCATGGGGAGCAGTAATATCCTCTAAAGAGGAAATGGAATAACAAATTTTGTTTTAATAAAACCAATATTTCACCTAATAATACAGAGGAGAAGGAGGAAAACAGCATGTGGTTGTGCTGAATCCTGGGGGTTTTGAGATTGTTCCTGAAGACTGTCTCTGGTGTCCGTGTGATGCGGTGTCTAATACAGCCAGGTATTCCCGAACTGAACGCTAACTCTGCTAGCCCCGTGTCGTTCGCAGCTGGCTGCCCCTGGCTGGTGATCACGGACTTCGGTTGCTGTTTGGCAGATGAAAACGTCGGCTTGAGACTGCCTTTCACCAGCTCTTACGTGGATCGGGGCGGCAACGGCTGTCTTATGGCTCCCGAGGTAAATCCCCCTGTAGTGATGGTTTGTGTTGCTGGTTGTCTGCTTGTCCTGCTGTTGGGACTAAAAAATTTCAGCCCCAGCTGTGGTGCAGGCTGTGATAGGAACTTGAAAAAGGGTGGGATTAGGTCTAGAAGCAGTGGAGGGCACGTGTGCACATCACTTTGCTGTGATTTGTCCCCGAGCCTTCCCCCACGTGCACACACCGATACTTAATGTGGTCTCTGCTGGTGTGTGTTCACAGTCATACCTGCTGAAAGCCTCTGTGATCAGATCGATCATTTTCTACCCGTTCCTGCTTATTGACATAACTCGGTCATGCAAGACAGTACCCATAGCAGGTTGCTGTGTAACTAATCTCACCCTACGCTCTGTCGTGGGAGAGCCGTGTCCCGTAAAGCGGCGTAGGAGGTCCATGTCCTAACTTGAGTTATGCTTGCTAAACATTTCTGCGCTAATAAAAGAAGTCCGCTTCGGACCTGTGCTGAGCAGTTGTCAAACAGACACCTTGAGCGCTAAAAGGTGAAACGTAATCAGTCGGTGTTGTGAGGCAGAATTGACCTTTCCCACAAAAAGTTTGCTCTTTGGTCTTGGGCCCACTTCTGTGTAGCTATTAAAGAAATTTATGCAGCAGTCCTTATGTTGCGACAGTAGTTTTTGGATGAAGTTCAAGGTGGTTGTGAAATTATTTACAGTTCCTTTTTATTTCTCTGATGATAACAGTAATAAAAACGAAGACACCCTTAACTGTCTGCTTGACCTGGAGCACCTTGCCTTGCATTGCTTAAGTGCCGGTGCAGTATTGGTTGGTCATCTGCATGGCTCCTGTCTACCTAAAATCCCAGAGTGAAGTAGCTCTCAGGACTCTCTGAATGCTGGTCAGGGGCAACGACTAACGCCTAGGCACAATGACCAAACTCCTCCCAGTGTCCTGGTGAGCTGAGCAGTGCCAAAAGCTCAGAGCATGCCAATAGGGAATATTTACATCAGAGATTTAGATGAAACCTAGCTTTGTTTTCAGTCTTTCTGTTTATTATAGCAGAAATACTGATTTAACCCTTGAAAATTAGTTCTAGCACAGAGCCCACACTAGAGCTGTTTATTTGAACATCCCCATCTCTGTGGCAGGTGATCACAGCGTCACCTGGTCCGGGCACGGTGATCAACTACAGTAAAGCTGATGCGTGGGCTGTTGGAGCAATCGCCTATGAAATCCTTGGCCTGGCCAATCCTTTCTATGGCCACGGGGACTCGACTCTGGAAAGCAGAAGTTACCGTGAAGACCAGCTGCCAAGCCTGCCTGATCACGTGCCCCTTGAGGTGAAGCAAGTGATAAAGATGCTACTTCAGAGGGATCCCAACAAGGTAAGAAACTGTTGTCTTGAAGAAGTCATCTAACCAGCCTTTGGGAGTGTTGTTTGTAGATCATTTCACTCCGGAGGGCTCAGGACTGTGATCCTGATATTACTGCAGTCTAGATAATGATCAAAGACAAACAAAAGGTCTTTGCTGAAGTGCAGTCTGCCTCTCACATGCTGCACTGAATAGTTTCAGGGATTTCAGCGGATGTTTGTGTCAGGGACTGGACCTTGAATTGGGGGGTTACGTGCAGTTGCCTGATAATAAATAGTCATAAAGAGTTTTTTTATTCAGAGACTTTGCGGTGCCTTAGAGGAGACCTGGGGGACTTTTGGCAGTGTAGATGCTACCTACTAGCGATATGACAGGATTCAGCAGGCTCGGCTAATCTTCCCTCTCCTTCCTTTTGCAGAGATTGTCTGCTAGAGTTGCTGCTAACGTGCTTCACCTAACCCTCTGGGGTGAAAGCATTCTAGCATCCAGGACCCTGAAACCCGACCAGATGATTGCCTGGCTTCTCTGCCAGTCTGCGGCCACTCTGCTCATGGATGGACTGGTGGATAAAAGCCGGGTAGAAACCAAAATGAAGATGTGCTTTTTGGCAAACCTTGAGTATGAAGACCTCTGGGCAGCGATATTCCTGTTGCTGGCCTGGAGAAGCCGGTCTGGGACACAACCATGCGATAGATAAACAGCACTTTCTAAAGGCACATAGGAATCTGTCTTTTCTGTCTGCCTGGGATACTACAGTGCTTTAGGAAACAAAACTGCAGGCCTGTATTTAAGAGGTTGAGTTTATCTCTAGCGAGTGTTACTACACACTGCTTTTCTCTCCCTGCTAGAGGAAATGCCCTTGCTTTATTACTCTCTTGGTGAGGCTTTGCGGACCTTGCAGGTGTCCTGAGGTACGCGGTTGGTTTTGCTCACGTTTGGGAGTTCATAATTGACGTCTAAGTTGTGTATTGAATGAAGCAAGTTCCCTTTCAGAAGGGGGTGTGTGGGAGGAGGCGCTGTCTAGCTGCTCTTTACATGGAAGCGTCATGGATTTAAACAATACACCGAGAAAGCTGAGCTGACAAAGGGATGTGCAGTCTTTCTTTTCTTAGGGAAAATGGCAGTGGTCTTAAGATTATATTCCTCTGCAGCCACAGACATATCTTGCTATAAAATGACAGCCTGAAAGCCTCCCAGTGAGGTGCTGACTGGTAAGGTGAGCGTCAGGAGCTGCTCGCTTCTTACGATAATGCACCGTTACATATCTAGCTAGTTGTACACATAACAGCGCAAGCACAAGGAACCCAAAACCTGCTTATATTTGTTTCTTGACTGTTGTATTTGTGCAGTGACTACTGCCGCAGAGTCCAAGGCCGAGTCAAACTGTGTCCAGTTAGGGGTAATACTGCAAACTAAATAGGGCTGAGCAGCAGTGCCTGCTTAAAGAGTTTAGTGTGATGCTCTTCTGTTTTACCTACCTGTTTTTTCTGTTTAACAATGAAGTCATATCCGTTGGTCGGGGAGGATAGGAGACATCAATGTTTGAACAACAGCAGTCGTGTTTATGAAAACATCATTCGATTTCATGCCTGTAATTGTGTTTAGAGGAACTTGGGGAGAAAGTTATTTATGCTTGTTGCACAATAAATTGAAGATTAAGCTCTGCTGCAGAGTGGGTTCTCTACATCTAGTTCATCTCCGCTCATGGGATCCAGGCTTTAGCCTGTGGAGGCCTGGGGGGCAATGTCGCCCTGGTTCAGTGAAGTCTTAAAGGATCATTCGGCTGTTTCTGCTGCTGTCTCTGGAACACATTATTTTATTCCAGCAAGTGGAGTTCCCGAAGAGGAACGGACCTTGCCTCATGAATGTGTCCGTTTCATACTCTCCTGACCGGTAAATCACTGGCTTCTCCTGCCATTTCCAGGTCGATGACATCGTTTGCCAAGTGGCTGATATCCCTGAGCAAATCATCACGCGGTAATGTGCCATCAAGGTCTTGCATGCTGAAATGGCGTCCAGTTCAGCAACAGTGCAAAACCGCCTACCAGGGAATGGCCCTGCTCGTTTTCCTGTGAACACAGCACACTGCTGGGGCTGTGAAGAAGGCTCAGCAAAGAGCACAGAGCCTGGGGAATCATAGAAAATGAGCTCTTTGGGCAAAAAGTTGCAGAAAAAGAACTTTTTAATCCTGGTCTGACCCTAACCGAAGCTGCTGCTGCTTTTTCTTAGATACTGAGTTCTTGCAGTGCATTTTTAGCTGGGATGGCTGCCTTGAATTTGTGCACGCGCTTTCCTGTGAGCTCTGTGCCCCTGTACCTAGCAGCGAGGCCAGTTCCCCGGACACTGTCTCTGGAGCTTTTTGAAGAGTAAATACTGATGCTTTTTTGGTAGATCTCTGCTCTGATCTCTCTCTGTTGTTCTGCTGTTTCTGTGAGCCAGTAAGAGCTGGTTAGCTCAGCAAGGCGCAGCTCCGCTTGTTGACATGCCGAGTCTTTCCTTGTCCCTGCAGTACTGGGCGTGGAATACACACATATTCCATATCCAAACCAACTGTGTGGAGCTGGCTTTCTGCTGTGAACATACTCCTTTTTTTTCCCTTGGTTTTCCTCCCAGGTCCAATCTCTACATGAGTAGGGAGCAGAATTAGGAGCCGGAGCCGTCTGATTTCAAGCATGTCCTTATTAGGCCAACCAGGGTTTGATCCGTGCTGGTTAACTCCAGACTTTGGAAACTTGCTTCCCCTGGAAATCATCTCATTTCATCTCTCTGTCCTCAAAAATGGCTTAAAATGCTTGTCCTGCAGCACCACCTCTGGTTCTTAAATCCCCATTATTGCTTCTCCTTTGCTTGCATTTTGTCTGTCTATGGTTCTGCTGAGGTTAGATGGTTTTTTTGTCCTCTTTCACTGCCTGCCTTTCGTTAATGAGACATTTTTATGATTTTTCAGCATTCTGGGTGCTTTTGTAAAGTGCAGTTTAAAAGTATATGCTGTTAGTGCAACAAATGCTGCCTTACTTTCTGCAAATGCCCAAGGGGAGCAAAACTGGAACATTTCCCAGCGCGTCCCTCTTGCCCTGTCATGCTGATCTCTAGGCAGGCTCTTGTTGGAGACCCTCGAGCTGAAGCCCCTTGCTGCCATGTTTGTTCCTGATGTTTGCCGGGAAGCAGACCGTGCCGTGGGGAAAGGGGGCAGCCCGGAGGGGGAATGCGAGGCCTGAGCCCAATCTCTGCCTTTCCCCGAGCAGCGG